CTAGACCCTTCCCCCAGGGCCGGTTTTTCATCCTGAGTCTTCTTTGTTGACCTTCCTGGGACCAACGAGGGCCCCCAGGAGCCGAAAATACAGAAAAATGTGCCGTCCGGATTTTCTTGAGACGCGATCGTGTCTGGGAGCATGTCTGTGTGCGTCCCAGTCCACACCGACCACCAGTCACCCAGGACCACTCCCGAGGCCTCCGGCCCCCCCGCACCGTCCTCCCAGGGGCAGGGCCCCCGTCGTCCAGGGAGCTCCCCGCGGGGGCCTCCGTGCCTCGGGCTGGCTCCTGGGCGCTCGCCAGGACGTCCCAGGGCGCCGAAGAGCCGCGGGACCCTCGTCGTCGTCGTCGTCGTCCTCGTCGTCGTCGTCGTCGTCGTCGTCGTGGCCCCCCTCGTCGGCGTCGCCTGCCCGCTCAAAGGCTACTCGCTGCGGTCCGCGGCGACGCTGCACAGGGACTCCGCGCTGCGCCCCCAGGCCGAATTGGCGCGGCACGCCTGCCTGCCTCGCCGGCTCGCCGTCGCCGCCGTCCTCGACGTCGTCGTCGTCGCCGCCGTCGTCGCTTCCGCCGACGTCGTCGCTGCCGTCGTCGACGGCATCGTCGAGGTCAGCGTCGTCGTCATCGCCGGCCGTCGCGCCCGACCACGGCGCCGTCGTCGTCGACGCCGTGGACGTCGTCGTCGGCTTCGTCGTCGACGCGCCCGACGTCGTCGTCGTCGTGTCGCTGCCGTCGCGCCCGACGACGACGTCGCCTCCATCGCCGACGCTGTCGCCGCCGCCGCCGTCCTCAGGGAGGTTTCTGGCTGGCACCCTCTCTGGAGGTTCGCGCCGCCACGGCCGGGTGCGGCCCCAACTGCTGGCCAAGAGGGCCCTCAGGAAACGATGGCCGACCTTTGAATTCGAGCGGATTCCGACGTCGGGTGGACGAGGAGGAGGAGGACGAGGAGGAGGAGGAGGAGGAGGAGAAAGTGCGACGCAACAAAAAAAACGGCTTCGTTGTCGCCGACGCTGGCGCGTACGCTGCGCGCGCAAAGGCTGCGCGCGCAATTCGCTGCCCTCGCCTCCGCTGCGTGGTGCGCGCTGCGCCGGCGGCCTTGCGCGCCTCCTCCTCCTCCTCCTCCTCCTCATCCTCCTCCTCCTCCTCCTCCTCCTCCTCCTCGTCTTGCCCCTGTCGGGAACAGCCAGGACCCCGGGTAAGGAGACCCGGTTCGTGGTAGGGCCCTGGGGCCCTTCACTTGGCCAGATTCACTAAACCAGGTGTGCCGTAGCTGGTGTTTTCTTTCGGGTGACGGCGGTTCCGATTGGTGGAGATGGGACGCGGGGGGCGCCCCCTGTACAAATCACTAAACCAGGTTCCACTAAACCCAGTTCTGCCAACGCCCGACCAGGCCTTGGCGGGGGGTTGGTCGGGAGGGCTTGCTTGCCCGCATGGCCGCGGCCAGGCGCGGCCCGAGTGGCTGGTGGGGGTGAGATCTGGGAGGGATCGGGGGGGTGCTCCCGAAGCGCGCTTTGGCCAGAGCTCCTGGAGGAGCTGACGGGGTACACGCCGGTCGCTGGAGACCACTCAGGATAGAATTCTAACACACAGAGGTTCAGAAAGACACCCGCCAGCAAGGACAGGCACAGAAGCGGTCTGAGCCTGGCTTGCTGCCCTTGAGCCTATGCATGGGGGCATCGATGCTATCTCCTTCCCTACCCAGAACCTCACCACCTGCTGTTCACAAGAAAGCTGGTGTTTTTAGGATGCCCAGGTCCCAATCTATTTTGGGCGCCTTTTCTACTTCAATGGTCGAGTGGCTCATGGTCAGGCTCACTCACACCCAGACTCACTCAAATACATTGTTTTTTCACGGACATAGCGAACAGTACGGTCGCTTCGACGCACGCCGCCCACGGCGGCTCACGCTTCACGGGCACAAGTGCTTACGGTTCGGGGGACGTTGCGTTGATGTTTCTTTTCGCCATGCCTTGTTGTCTAGCTGCTGTTCGCGATTTGCCTGCTTCTCAGACCTGGCGTGCCACCCTCAGGCTCCGAGTCGGCCACATTCGGACTCAACACTGACACGGCAGGTTCGCGTCGTGCCGACCGGCGGCGACCCCGCCGCCGGCGTTCAACGTCGAACGGCTGGCGATTCAGCATCGGTCGATGCTGAACGATTTGACGTTTCGGGAACGGCCGCTCGTTCAAGTTTGAACAATCCACGCGGTGTCAGAAACCAACGCCGAAGCCAGCACGGCACGAGCCTGCCGTACCCATATTCGCCCACCCATGATAACCGCGATGCAGCAAGCATGCCGGTGGATAGGGCTGGCCTCCTGGAGTTGCTGGGATGTCTCATCTCCCCTTCCCCCCCGGGAAAGAAGAAAGTAGGCGTGGCCCATGATGTGTTCGGCAGGAGGACAAATCATGCTCGTGCCCAGATGTTCGCAGACGGATCGTCAACGGTGCGGAACCGTCTCTCCGCGCACTCCGAGGCCCCCCGCGGGTCTTGTCCGCGGCCGCGCGGCCGAGGGGAAGCACGCTGCTCCAGACGATCGCTCGCGGGCGGCTCGGGAGCACAGGCTCGCGAACGAGGCCCGGGCCAGGCCAGGCCTCGAAGATGAAGCTGCCCCAGGACACACACACACACATATATATATATATACACACACAAACAAACATATGCCCCATAGTTTCCAATATTTTCCTGGGTGTCTGTGTTCCCCCCACTTCCCATATTTTCCCATATTTTCCAGGGAATCGAGGATTAATTGTGTCTGTGTGCTTTTTCCCCTCCTGAGAAGAGCAGGCGTGCCGCCGGAGCGCCGGCGAGCGCCCGCGGCGATGCGGGAGCCCCCGGGGTTGCCGTGCCCCGCCGGCCGCCGCCAGGCCGCGACGCGGCTGGCCGCCATCCCGGTCGCGGCGGCCTGCCTGGTGCGCCCCGCTGGGGCGGGGGGCGCGACTCGCGGGCCTTCCTCTTCCAAACGACCTCGTTTCCTCGCTCTGAAGAAACAGCGCCCTGCGTCGCCTCTCCTCTCCCTGTCCCTCTCCCTCTCTCCTCTCCTCTCCCCTCCTCTCCTCCTCCTCTCCTCTCCGCTCCTCTCCTCTCCTCTCCTCTCCTCCCTCCTCCTCCTCTCCTCTCCGCTCCTCTCCTCTCCTCTCCTCTCTCCTCCTCCTCTCCTCTCCTCTCCTCTCCTCTCCTCTCCTCTCCTCTCCTCTCCTCTCCTCTCCTCTCCCTTCCTCCTCCCTCCTGCCTCGCCTCCTCCCCTCCCCCCTCCCATCCCTGCCTCCTGCCCTCCGCACCACAGCGCGCCGTGGCCCCAGCGGGGGCTCCACGCGGGGCAGCTCCCCTGGCCGGCCTCTGCCCCCGGGGCCTCGGGTAGGGGTGCGGCCCGCGGGGTGTGCGGCTGGGCGCGGTCGGCGAGCAGCTGGGGGAGGGCGGCGTCCGGGCTCGGCCGGGGGGGGCGGTGGCCCCCTCGGCTTGGCGCCTGGCATCGCTCGGACGCGTGATTTGTTTCACGGCGAGGGCCCTTAAAGAACAGACTGGATCATCGAGCGACAGAAAAACATCCTGGATCATCGAGCGACAAAAAAGTGTGTATTTTTTCTCGGCGAGGATCATCGAGCGACAAAAAAACACGCGCGAGACCAAACATTATCCCGGCAAAGCAACCTAACAGCGATGTGTAGGAGCATATTTGGAAGCATTCCCCTCAAGATTCAGATGAGAATGCGGTTGTAGAATTCTGCTGTTCTCGCAGTCGTAGTCGCATTCGCGATGACAGTCGCAGTGGAGCCTCAGCCTGCCTCAGCCTCAGCCTGCCTCAGCCTCAGCCTCAGCCTGCATCAGCCTCAGCATCAGTCTGCCTTCAGCCTCGGCCTCAGCCTCAGCCTCAGCCTGCCTCTGCCTCAGCCTCAGACTGCTTCAGCCTCAGCCTCAGTCTGCCGTCGGCCTCGGCCTCAGCCTCAGCCTGCCTCAGCCTCAGCCTGCATCAGCCTCAGCCTCAGCCTCAGCCTCAGCCTGCCTCAGCATCAGCCTGCCTCAGCCTCAGCCTCAGCCTCAGCCTGAGCCTGCCTTAGCCTCAGCCTCAGCCTGTTTCAGCCTCAGCCTCAGTCTGCCTGCAGCCTCGGCCTCAGCCTCAGCATGCCTCAGCCTGAAGCCTCAGCCTCAGCCTCAGCCTCAGCCTCAGCCTCAGCCTCAGCCTCAGCCTCAGCCTCAGCCTGCAGCCAGCCTCAGCCTCTGCCTCAGCCTCAGCCTCAGCCTGCCTCAGCCTCAGCCTGCCTCAGCCTCAGCCTCAGCCTGCCTCAGCATCAGCCTGCCTCAGCCTCAGCCTCAGCCTGCCTCAGCCTCAGCCTCAGCCTGCTTCAGCCTCAGCATCAGCCTGCCTTCAGCCTCGGCCTCAGCCTCAGCCTCTGCCTCTGCCTCAGCCTGCATGAGCCTCAGCCCCAGCCTCAGCCTGCCTCAGCATCAGCCTGCCTCAGCCTCAGCCTCAGCCTGCCTCAGTCTCAGCCTCAGCCTCAGCCTCAGCCTCAGTCTGCCTTCAGCCTCGGCCTCAGCCTCAGGCTGCCTCAGCCTCAGCCTGCCTCATCAGCCTCATCAGCCTCAGCCTCAGCCTGCCTCAGCATCAGCCTGCCTCAGCCTCAACAGCCTGCCTCTGCCTCAGCCTCAGCCTGCTTCAGCCTCAGCCTCAATCTGCCTTCAGCCTCGGCCTCAGCCTCAGCCTGCCTCAGCTCAGCCTCAGCCTGCATCAGCCTCAGCCTCAGCCTCAGCCTGCCTCAGCATCAGCCTGCCTCAGCCTCAGCCTCAGCCTCAGCCTGCCAGCCTCAGCCTCAGCCTCAGCCTCCTCAGCCAGCCTGCCTCAGCCTCAGCCTCAGCCTGCCTCAGCCTCAGCCTCAGCCTGCTTCAGCCTCAGCCTCAGCCTGCCTCAGCCTCAGCCTGCATCAGCCTCAGCCTCAGCCTCAGCCTCAGCCTGCCTCAGCCTCAGCCTCAGCCTGCCTCTGCCTCAGCCTCAGCCTGCTTCAGCCTCAGCCTCAGCCTCAGCCTGCCTCAGCCTCAGCCTGCCTCAGCCTCAGCCTCAGCCTGCCTCAGCCTCAGCCTGCCTCAGCCTCAGCCTCAGACTCAGCCTGCTTCAGCCTCAGCCTCAGTCTGCCTTGAGCCTCGGCTTCAGCCTCAGCCTGCCTCAGCCTCAGCCTGCCTCAATCTCAGCATCAGCCTGCCTCAGCATTTAAAATGTGGCCCGGGAATGGAGTTCTGGGAACTCGAAGAACAGTTGGCTCTGGGCATTTAAAATCATGCCCAGGAATGGAGTTCTGGGAACTCGAAGGCCACGAAGTGGCCTACAGTTGGCTCCGGACATTCAAAGTCATGCCCAGGAATGGAGTTCTGGGAACTCGAAGACCACGAAGTGAGTTACTGTTTGCTGAAAAAGGAGTCCCCGGCATCCTCCCCCGGATCGCGCCCAGACCCCCTGGGGCGTCATGATGCGTCTGTTAGGTAAAAATGCACGGGAAAAGGGACTTCCGAGCGACGGCAAGGGCGGCAGCGGCGGCGTCGGCGGCGCCAGGCGCCCTTGGCGAACACGGGTGGACCGCCCTCGTGAGGCCGAGCCCCCAGGCCCCCTCGCGTTGTGGCAAACAAAAATCAGGAGGGGAAAAAACACACAGACACAATTAACCGTCGATTCCCCAGAACATATGGGAAAATATGGGAAGTAGGGCGTAAGACAAAAAAAAACAAAATATAGAAAAATAGGGGGAATAGTTTTGTTTGCGTGTATTTATTTGTGTGGCCTGGGGCCCCTTCAAAAAAGAGAGAGACACGACGGGAGGCTGTTCGTTGTCTTCGGCCTCCGGGGGCCCTCGTCGGGCCCCGGGGCCGTCGGAACACATTTTTTTGATCCGCGGGTCGAGAGCGCACCCCTCCCGGTCGAAGCTAAGTGGGCCGCGCGGAGCTTGAACTAACAAAGAGGGGGGAAAGGGAAGGAGCGCAGCCTCACGGCGAGGCCAGGAGGAGGCAAAGCCTCGGGACCAGGCGGTGCCGAAGACGAAGTGCTTGCAAAGGAACGCCTTGGACAGGAACCCGGCGGCGAAGTACCGGAAGAAGCAAAATGCTGTGGTTTGTAGGGGGCCGTCGAAACACGATTCGGGATGAAAAGACGGTCCCGGGGAAGGGGTCCAGACCTTTGGGGGTCGACGCTGCGAGAGGATCACGGCGTCGGGGGGGCCTGGCCCTCGGATCCCGGGGGAGCCACGGGAGGCGCACTGAGATCCTGGCGTCTCGAATTTAGATGCTCCTCCTCCTCTTCCTCCTCCTCCTCCTCCTCCTCCTCCTCCTCCTCCTCCTCCTCCTCCTCCTCCTCCTCCTCCTCCTCCTCCTCCTCCTCCTCCTCCTCCTCCTCCTCCTCCTCCTCCTCCTCCCCCCTCGATCCAATCTGATTCCTCCATCCGATCCCGCGCAGACCCGTCCGGGCAGGGGACGGGCGCACTGAGCTCCTGGCGTCTCGAGTTTCTCGCGGCGGGCGTTTTTTCGCGCGGCGTCGGCCCCCTGGGCCTCCACGGGCCGATCCAATTCTAAAAGTGGCGCCGATGGATGGGGTCCGGGCTTCTGGTCGTCATTTCTCAACGGCGTTGCCCTCTCCTCGCAGTTCAGAGGGGGTGGGGTGGGGGAGGAAACACAGAGATACAATTCATCGCCGAGATACAATTCATCGCCGATTCCCAGGGAACAGATGGGAATCGATGGGAAGTGGGGGGAAGACGAAGACCCAGACAGTGTGGAGAAAATGTTGCGGGAGTCCTGGGACTTGTGTGGCTCAATGTGTGTGTCCCCGGCGTGGCAGCCACGGGGAGGCGAACCGCCCCCCCGCCGCCTCCCTCCGATCCTGCGGCCCTCGTCCTGGGAGCCGCGCGGCGCGGCTGGCCGCGGGGGGGGTCGCGCCACCGCGGTCCCGGCGGGCCCGGGGCCGGCGCTGGCTTCGGGGGCCCCCCGCGCGGGGTGGTGACCACGCCATTTGATGTAAGTCGGGCCTGTCCCCCTACAGGGGGATCTTCAACGAAAAATGAATAATACCCCCAAAATAATCAAACATATTTCAAAAATGGTCAGGTGACTATTTTTGGGGTATGTTGTTGCCTTTTTGTTACATGTTTGGGTTTGTTTGATTTTTCGTCGAAAATCCCCCTGTTGGGGGACACGCCCGACTTAACACTTGGTGGCTGCATGTTTCGGTGTCGTGGGGATCGCGTGGCTCGTGCCCTCCTACAATAAAGGTCGCCGTGTCGTGTTCGTGCGATACCTTCGCACATAGGGGATGTAGGAAAGTGAGGCTCGTGATTGCCATGGCCTCCGACCAGTGCCGCCGATCCGGGGCGCTCGGGTGATGATGATGATGATGATGATGATGATGATGAAGATTATGATGATGATGTTGTTGATGTTGATGCTGATGCTGATGATGATGATGGTGATGATGATGATGATGACGATGCTGATGCTGATGCTGATGCTGATGATGATGCTGAGAATGATGATGATGCTGCTGCTGCTGATGATGATGATGATGATGGTGATGATGATGATGATGATGAGGATGATGATGATGATGATGATGATGATAATGATGATGATGATGATGATGATGATGATGATGATGATGATGATGATGATGATGATGATGATGATGATGATCTTGATCTTGATGGGTTCGCGATGTCCTATAATTTGGTTCCCAGCCTCACCGTTGAGTATGAGCCTGGGGCCTCGTGGGGCCTCTTGAAACCTCCTGGGGCTTCTTGGAGCCTCCTGGAGCCTCCTGGGGCCTCTTGGGGCTTCCTGGAGCCTCCTGGGGCCTCCTGGGGCCTCCTGGGGCTTCCTGTGGCCTCCTGAAGACTTCTGGGGCCCTCGCAGTGGCATCGCCCTTGGCGTGGCCTTGGAGGGCGCCGCGACGGCCCTGCGGGCCGCGCCGCCGCCGCCGCAGAGGCCGAGGGCGGAGAGGCCGGCCACGGCGGCGAGGCCGCCGCAGACCGCCGGCAGCCCTCTGCCGGGCGCCGCCTGCGGCCAGGACGACGCGAGGAAGGCACGACGGCGCGAGCCCGAAGGAGGAGGAAGGAGGAGGAGGAAGGAGGAGGAAGAGGAGGAGGAGGAGGAGGAGGAGGAAGAAGAAGGGGAGGCCGAGGAGGAGGAGGAGGAGGAGGAGGGGGAGGCCGAGGAGGAGGAGGAGGTGGGAGGGGGAGGAGGAGGAAGGAGGAGGAGGAGAGAGGAGGAGGAGGAGGAAGGGGAGGAGGAGGAGGAGGAGGAGGAGGAGGAGGAGGGAGGGAGGAGGAGGAGGAGGAGGAGGAGCGCGCGAAGGCCGCGCTGAAGACCGAGGCAGAGCGCGAGGCCAACCAGGCCGAGGGCCGCCCCCCCCCCCCCCCCGTCAAGCATCCTCGAGCGGCCGGTCCGGGGCGAGCTGGGCACTCGCAGAGGGCCAGCTGGCGAGCGACATCGGGCGCGAGGTCTACTGTTTGGGAGACGAGGGCCTGGACGAAGAGGGCAAGCGCCAGGTGGAGGGGGCGAAGAGGGCCGCAGCGAGGCAGATGCAGGGAGAGCGCGAGGCCATTCCAGGGAAGCGAGGTCCAGCGCGGCCAGCTACGCCTTCGCGAACACGTCGCGAAGGCGAAGCTGGCCGCGCTGGACCAGCGCCAGGTCCTCAGGCGGCGCAGAAGAAGAAGAGGAAAGCAGAGGGAGGCGCGGCGAGGGCCGCGCCAGCGGCTGAAGGGCGCGGAGGCGCCTGCAGCCGCGCCGCAGGCTGCCGCGGCCGGCAGCCAGCCTGCAGCAGCAGGAGGAGGCGGAGGAGCTGCAGGAGGAGCCGACGTTGCGGAGGAGCGGCGAGGGCGCGGAGGCGAGGGCGCGGAGGCGCCCAGGGGCCCCGCCCAGGGGGGCGCGTGCGAGGGCGGCGGCGAAGGGATGTTGGCGGCGCCGCCGTCCCCGAACGCACGTCGTTTACAAAATCAGATGTTTCGCTGTCGGGGGCGCCTGTCCCAGGGCGGCTGGAAAGTTTCCACGTTTGCGGCGGCACGTCACGGTAGAACTTCCCAGCCGCCCTGGGGCAGCGCCCCTGGCGACGGGAAAGTTTGTTTGATACCGTTTGTCGCCCGCTAAGTTTTTATGTGCCATGATCCCATTTTGAGGACCCACAGCCTAGCTGTGGCTGGTCAAGCAGTGGCTTGAAGGGGAAGGTCTCGACGCGATGGCGTTGCAGGATACACACGTGCCAGAGTCGAGGCCGGAGGAGGACACGGAGCTGGACCTCGTGAAGTTCGGGCACAGGGCCAGCTTCTCTGCGGCGAGGAGCAGCAGCAGGACGGAACCGGGGAGCTTCGGAGGCACGGCCATCGTCACCGAGGGCCACCTGCGCATCACCAGCGGGCCCGCCAGGTCTTGAATGCCACATCGGATATTCGCAAGAGTCAGGAGGGAAACAAACACAGGCACAATTAACCGTCGACTCCCAGGAAAATATGGGAAAATATGGGAGGTGGGGGGAAAGACAAAAACCCAGAAAATATGAGGAAATATGGGGGATCACTTTATTTGTGTGTATTTGTTTGTGTGTCCTTGGGCCCCTTGAGAGAGGCCTGGGCAGGGCGAGGGCTTCGACGTGTTCGACTGGACGCCGGCCACATGGCACCTGGAGGGGACGACGCCCACGGTGATCATCAGCTACCTCGACAGCGGCAAGTCGCTGATCGAGGGCGTCAACAGCCGCAAGCTCACGGCGTGGACATCGCTCTTGAAGACGATCAGCGGGGCGTGGGCGGTCTGCGGCGACTTCCTCGGGGACCCGCAGTCTTTCTGGGCGCCAGGCTGGCCGAAGGCGATGGGCGCGGAGTCGGCCATCTCCTTGCCAGACAGCCAGCACGCTTGCTTCCTCGCGGAGCAGGAGCCGTCGCTGATCGACTGCGCGGTGACGCACGAGGCAGGGGGTGGGCGAACCTCAGGCGTGGAGGCGGTCGACGATGTGCCGTGGAAGCCGCGCGTCGGCGTGAAGTTCACCATCAGAGGAGGCTGGCTCCAGACGCAGTGCAGGGCGCGAGGCGCGAGGCCTACCCATGGCCTTCCCGCGCCCGCCGAGGAGGGGCACAGCGCCAAACCTGAACGAGGAGGGGGCTGCAGGCAAACTCAGAGGCCGAGGCTGGCGCTGGAGCGCAGGAGCAGGAGGAGTTCGAGGCAGCTGGCGTGAGTGAGGGGGCGATGAGAAGCGGGGGACATGGCATCACGGCCGAGGAGAAGCTCGACAGCGCGAGATGGGAGGCGCCAGCACCAGTAGCGTACACCGTCGCGCCGAAGCACCATATGGGCTTGGACGAGGCAGACGCGCTCGCCGACCTTGGGCACCAAGAGGAGGAGGAGGAGGAGGAGGAGGAGGAGGAGGAGGAGGAGGAGGAAGTGGAGGAATTGGAGGAAGAGGAGGAAGAGGAGGAGGAGGAGGAGGAAGAGGAGGAGGAGGAGGAAGAGGAGGCGCTGCAGTATCTGGAAGGGACCAGGGGGGCCTGGCGAGATGCAATGCGACGACTTCCCCGCCGAGCCTGGAGGTCAACGCGCGATCACGCTGTGCCGAGCCATTCTGTCCGGGCCGGCGGCAGCCCCGGCGGCGTCCCCCGGCCCTGCGCCCGGGAGCCAGGGAGAGGCGGGCGGACGACCAGGGCGGAGACCGCACCGAGATCGCGGAGGCCTTCTCGGCAGACGTGTGCAGGACCGGCGCTGCGGGCGCAGGCGGCGCTGCGCCACGACGGAGCAGGGCTGGCAGGAGGCGCAGACGTGAAGGACCTGAAGGGGCACTTGCAGACGCTGGCCAAGAAGGGGTAGCACGCCAGCTGCGGCGCTCTCGTGACGGCAGCCCGCGCGGGCACCTGGGCCAGAAGGGAGAAGCTCGGCGCCCTCGGCGGCGGGGAGACGCGCCGCGGACGCGGGCGGCCCGAGGGCGACGAGCGCGTGATCTGGGGAACCTGGCCAGGAATGGTTGCCATGAGGCGAGGATGACGGAAGGCCTCGCCCAGAGAGCGGGAGCAGGCATCGCAGGAGCCCCCGCGTTCTGGTTGCGAGGCATCGCCCCGCAGGCCTGGACCACGCCACCCAAGTGCGACACGGAGCACCAGGAATCGGCGGTAGGAGCCTGCGCCACAGGACGGAGGCTGAAAGGGCCGGGGAGGCGAGCTGCTGGTAGGCTGCGGAGACGGCTCCGGAGGCGACTACAGCGCAGACGAGCGCTACTGCAGGTGCGGCTGGGGCTGGGTGCTGCTGGCCCAGCCGGGGGCCGCAACTCCTCCGGCGGTGGGCGCGCGCTTCGGGCCTCTGCCAGGGCCACGCCTGACAAACGTCAGTGCCGAGCTATTCAGCCTCCTGAGCTGCTCGATGGCGACGGAGGGCAAGGTCGACTTCAGGACGGACAGCGAGGTAACGCGGACAGGTTGGGCCGCCAGGAAGGAGGAGACCACGGGCACCGCCTGCGCGAGCGAGCTCGGACCTCTGGAGGCAGGCAGGCGAGGACGTGCAGGCGCGCGAGGGGGGCAGAGTCATCACCATGGCGCTGCACCTGAACAGCCTCATGGCGACGCAGGAGGCCGAGGATTTGGGCAGGAAGCAAGGCAGCTCATGAGTACGCGGACGCAGACGCGAGGCAGCATGCGATCGACGACGCGCTGACCACGAGGTCACCCGACGAGAGGGAGCTGAAGGAGGCGAGGCGGCAGCAGGTGAGGAGGAGGAGAGCAGAGGCGCGAAAAGAGGGGCCTGCTGGGGGACAACGCGGCCAGGGAGGAGGAGGAGGAGGAGGAGGAGGAGGAGGAGGAAAATATGAGGATGAGGACGGCGAGGGCGGCCGAAAGGAGGGCCGAAAGGGGAGGAGGAGGAGGAGGAGGAGGAGGAGGAGGAGGAGGAGGAAGAGGAGGAGGAAGAGGAGGAGGAGGAGGAGGAGGAGGAGGAGGAGGAGGACGACGACGACGACGACGACGGCCGGTGCGCCGGGCAGGTGGCCGCCGTCATGGCGCTGGCGGCCCTTCGCAGGTCTCCGCGGGACTTCGAGGCGGCCCCATCCGCCGCGCCGGCCGCCCTCCGCCGCCCTGCGGCGCGCGCGCGCCCGGCGCGTCGCCCGTCCGCCGCGAAGCCCAAGGGGCAGCGCCAGGGCTAAGTCGGGCGTGTCCTCCCACAGCGGGATTTTCGACGAAAATGAAAAATACCCCAAAAATAATCTGACAATAGTCCAAACATAGTCTGTGGGCTATTTCCCCACATCCTAAGTGGGGTTCTTGCTTTCTCTGGACACCCCGCGCAGTCCTCCCACACCCCATCTCTCTCTCTCTCTCTCTCTTTTTTTTTCTCTCTCTCTCTCTCTCTCTCTCTCTCTCTCTCTCTTCCCACATCCAAAGTAGGATTCTTGTTTCCCCTGGACACCTTGCGCAGGAACCTCACCTCACCTCACCTCCCACCCCTCTCCCCTTCACTCACCATCATCATCATCATCATCATCATCACCATCATCATCATCATCATCATCATCACCATCATCATCATCATCATCATCATCATCATCACCACCACCACCATCATCATCATCATATCATCATCATAATCAACATCATCATCACCATCATCATCATCAGCATCATCATCACCACGCATCGTCACTACTCATCATCATCCTGATCATCGTTACCATCATCATAACCACCACACTCATTCACACTCACACCATTATCATCCCCATCATCAACAACATCACCATCATTCGATCCATCGTCCCCATTATCACATTCATTATCATCACCACCAATCAGCATCACCACTCATCATCATCATCATCATCATCATCATCATCGTCATCATCCTCATCATCGTCACCATCATCATCAATCGATCACCTACTCACCATCATCATCATCATCATCATCACTCACTCACTCACCCACTCACTCACTCACTCATCACTTCGTCATCATTCACCCCCTAGCTTGAATATGGATGAAGTCTCAAGCGGGAGCTCCGTCTGTGAGTGAATCGTGGAGCCCCCTCCCTATAGGTCCTGCGCTTCATGTTGGCAATCCGAAGGGGTCGTCCGAAACGTGTAATTGTCGTCACTTTTGGGCTCCTCTGGCCTGAATTCGCAGGAAGTATGAAGCGGGAGCTTCGTCTGTGAGTGAGTTGTGAGGAAGTCTCATGCGGGAGCCCCCTTCCTATGGGTCCCGCATTTCATGTTGGTAATCCGAGCGGGTCACCCGAAACTTGTAACGGTCATCACTGTTGGGCTCCTCAGGCTTGAGTTTGGGGAAGTATGAAGCGGGAGCCTCGTCTGTGAGTGAGTTGTGAGGAAGTCTCAGGCGGGAGCCCCCTTCCTATGGGTTCCGCATTTCATGTTGGTAATCCGAGCGGGTCATCCGAAACGTGTAACTGTCGCCACCTTTGGGCTCCTCAGGCTTGAGTTTTGGGGGAAGTATGAAGCGGGAGCCTCGTCTGCGAGTGAAGTGTGAGGAAGTCTCAGGCGGGAGCCCCTTTCCTATGGGTTCCGCACTTCATGTTGGTAATCCGAGCGGGTCATCCGAAACGTGTAGCCATCGTCATTTTTGGGCTCCTCAGGCTTGAATTTGGGGGACGTATCAAGCGGGAGCCTCCTTTGTAGGTGAAGTGTGAGGAAATCTCAGGCGGGAGCCCCCTCCCTATGGCTCCCGCCTTTCGGGCCAAAACTTAAGCCTCCAGCGCCCTGCGCGGCGACTTTCCGCCATGACGGGTCCCGCACTTTATGTTGGTAATCCGAGCGAGTCATCGGATTCCTGTGACTTTCGTCACTTGTTGGGCTCCTCAGCTCCTGCGGCGTGAATGCGGAGGAAGGGCTCCTCAGCTCCCGGGTTTGTCCCGACGGCCTGCCCTCGGGCCCCAGCGACCCGCGGGATTGTCCCAAAGGCATGGCCCGCGGGGCCGCCCCAAAGGCTTCGCGATCTAGCCGTCGGCGAACGCGCGCGTGCTGGCCGAGGCGGCGACGGCGCCGAGGAAAATCGACTTGCTTGCCCCGACTAGGGGGAAGGGGACGTGCACATAGAGAAGCGGCAGGAGGAAGATGAGGAGGGGGAAGGGGTAGGGGGAGGGCGATGATGAGGAGGAGGTGGAAAAGGAGGAGGAGGAGGAGTCGAAGGAGGGGGAGGGGGAGAAATAGAGAAAGGAAGGAAAGAGGGCAGAGGGGGGGGCGAGAGGAGGGTGTTTGCCATGGCCAGGAGGAAACGGATAAAGGCAAGCTAATGATCATGCGGGGTCCTTCCGTCGGAGTAATTTCCCTACCCAGGCTCTGCCTAGAATGGTTATTCCTCTATGGGCTTAAAGGGGCCGGGCAGTGGAAATCGCCTTGGGCGGTTCCCCCGGCATCCGCCCCGCGGTTCCCCCAGTTACGCCCCCTTAGCTTAGCGTTGCGTATCCCATCGTAGCTTAGTTTATTTAGTTCATCTCAGCTTAGCTTACTTACAGCTTAGCCCATGTTTATATTAGCTTAGCTTACCTTTATCTTAGCTTCGCTGAGCTTTTGCATAGTAAAGCACAGCAGAGTATAGCGTAGCGTAGCATAGCATAGCGCATCACCGCATATCATAGCATAGCCCAGCAGAGCACAGCATAGCGTAGCATAGCATAGCGCAGCACAACACAGCATAGCACAGCGCAGCATAGCATAGCAGAGCAGAGCAGAGCAGAGCAGAGCAGAGCACAGCAGCAAAACAAAGGCAAAGCAACAGCAGCGACAGCAAAGCAAAGCAAAGCAAAGCACAAGCAAAGCAAAGCAAAGCAAAGCAAAGCAAAGCAAAGCAAAGCAAAGCAAAAGCAAAGCAAAGGAAAGGCAAATCAAAGGCAATGTGCGACAAAAGCCGAGCTAGCCTCGATGGCCGGACCGGAGCCCCCGCAAGCAGTGCCTTCCGTAACCAAAGCGAAAGCAAAAACAAGGCAATGCAAAGGCAAGGCGATGCAAAAGCAAAGGCAATGCAACGTAAAAAACAAAACCAATGCGATATAATTGATGTAGATGTAGGTGTAGATGTAGATGTAGATGTAGGTCTAGTTGTAGGTCTAGATGTAGATATAGATGTGAGTCTCGCTGTTGATGCTGATGTAGATGTAGATGCAGGTGTAGATGTTAATGTAGTTGTCGGTGTAGCTGTAGATGCTATGTTCGTAGATGCTCCAACTCCTAGGTAGGGTCGCACTGGGATCATTTGGAGTACTGTTTTGCCTTTTCGGGGTATGTTTGGTTTTTTTTGTTTTTCGTCGAAGGTCCCCCTGTATGGGGGACACGCCCGACAGAAGCTTAGCCCCGTCGCAGTTCGGGGTTCGAGGTTTTTTTTCGGGCGTGCTCGGCGGTTCTCGGCGGCTGTCCAACCTCGCGAGATGCCCTCCAGCAACCGCCTCTCGGCGAAACAAAAACGTTCCCGGGGTGCCCAGTGCGTCCCGAGCGGCCGCCGGAGGCTCGAGTCATGTCCCGAAAGCCCGGAAACAACAGATTTATGACGGTGGGGGATTTTGTCGGGGGCGGAAAAGAGGGGGGTGATGACTAGGGGGGGTGGATATCATGGCGTGGGCCATGATATTTCCCCTGATTTCATGGCGCCTCTTCTTATTTCATTACTTTCCTGGCCCCCCCGCTGGGCCGCGCACATGCCGCCGGTCATGATTTGCACCCCCCCCTCTTGGACACCCCCCTCTTTGCCGCTCCCGATTTTGGCTCGGCGCGACACGTCAACCGCGTCCTAGTCCCCAGGCGTGAACGTCCCCAGCTTTTCCCAGTTTCCCGCCCCGCGGAGCGGAGCGGCACGCTATCAGCTTCACTAGTTACGGGGCCACGACACTCTTGAAGCGAGCGCCGACGTGAGGCGGGGCCACCATGGAGGCGCTGCCGTTTGGGCTGCCCGCGGGGGGTGCGGAGGTCAGACGAAACGGGTTACGTGCTGATGTAACCCGTTGCGGCTTGCAGGCGCGGGGGAAAGCGGGAGAAGACATGCGGGCCCGGCATGCGAACGCATCTATTGGGGCCTTCGGTGGAGCTCGCCATGGGGCCACGCAGCGTGTGAAGGGTGTGCCAAAGTGAATGGGATGAGGGCATGCGAGTGCAGCCACTGGATCCTTCGGTGGAGCTCCTTATGGGGCCACAAAACGTGTGAGGGGTGTGCCGAAGTGAGAGGGGAATGGCGGCATGCGAACGCAGCCCTTGGGGCCTTCGGTGGAGCTCCCTATTGGGCCACGAAACGTGTGAGGGGTGTGCCGAAGTGAGGGGAATGGCGGCATGCGAACGCAGCCATTGGGGCCTTCGGTGGAGCTCCCTATTGGGCCACGAAGCGTGTGAGGGGTGTGCCGAAGTGAGAGGGGGTGACGGCACGCGAACGCAGCCACTGGGGCCTTCGGCGCAGCTCCCTAGGAGGGCACGCAGCGTGCGAGGGGTGTGCACGCGTGACGGGGGTGACGGGAGGATGCAGGAGCGAGGTGAGGAGGAGAAGAGGAAAAGGGGGCGCGGGGACTGTCTCTTCAAAGCGAAGACCCAACACCACAGGATGGTTGTGAACAAAACCATGGGCAAGCTATGGACTTTGCCTCTCGGGCCCTCTTGGGGCGTCTTGGAGGCCTCTTGGGCCGTCTGGGGGCCATCATGAGCCGTCTACAGGCGCTCCTTGACCGTCTTGGGCGCTCGGTGGGGAGCTCCGCGAAAGTCTGCGGGAAGTTTGGGGCGTTGCAGCCGTCCTGTGAGCGCCAAGAGGTCCTGGAGGTTATGCGGGACACCCCGGGAGCGCCAAGAGTGCCCGGGAAATGGGTGGTCTGGGCCCTCAGGAAAGTGCAATGTTGGTTGCAGCAGCACAGCTGTGAGTACAATAGCTGCCGCAGCAGCAGCACAGTTGTGAGCTGTGGGGTACTCCACGTCGTACCAGAGGCACGGTCACAAACACACACACATACATGTATGTATGTATGTATGTATATACACATACGCATCTGCATGTGTGTATAGGTGTCTGTACTTGAACGTGTAAAGGTATATGAGTACGCGTGCGTCTGTGTATGTGT